AAAGGAATGAACTGGCATTTTTAAGTCGTGACCTCTACTGACACTTTGGGATTCGAAAACCGGTTCTAAGGACTTGATCATGCAAAAAATGCTCTAGAAATTGCATGAAACGTACGATTAGCATTTAATATTCTTGCTCTAGATATCATAATTGCGATTTCCAAAAAATAATGTTCCTTTGCTAATTAACATTTTGTTAAAAACAGCTCTGTTTCCGTTGATTGGTCTACGTTCGTAACGAAAACGAAAACTAAAAGAAAACGAAATTAAAAGTTAATAAAACAAAATGTATTGCTACTTATTTTTGCAAAGGGCTGTCATTATATTTAACGATTATTATTTTTAAAATCAAATGTAATTCGAATTTTAAAATTTATTATTTACATTTAATTTTTTTTACAAATAAGTTTTTAATTAACTTCATTATGGAAGCGATTTCGAGCTTACAAATTATTACTAAACGAACCGTATGTTGTACGAACTCGTTGTTCCTTAACAATAGGGCAAGGGTCAGACCCTTCGTTCTTTTGTATGTAAGACATGCCGGTTTCCACACAATATTTTGAATTTTCCTTCGCCGTGCCAGCTAAATTGTAGCCTCAGAGAAGTAACATATTTTACGTCTATAAATGAACTATAATTAATTGGATAGACATTAAAAACTTTTGTAATATGTCAAATAAAGATATGATAAATTAGTTTTGCAATATTTTATGTAAATATTTATATAGACCTTGTGTTGTCTTCGACGTTTAATAAGTAATAACTAAAGTTTGTATACGAATAAAAATAGATTTCATAACACAATTTTAGTATTCACATTAGTTTTTATTTTTATTTTGCGTAATTTAATAATCGTTTATTTTATGATTTTGATTGCTTAGATTGATTGGTACAAATTTCGTCTGTAGTAGGTAGTATGTAGATGATATTTAAGAAAAGTCTTCAGTATTTTATATTAACATTTAAACGATGATTATAATATTGCCTGATAGATATCGCTTATACTCGTACGCTGTACATAACCTTTACTAACAAATTTATTTTATTAAGTCAATAAAAAAATAAAAAATAACTACATAATTGTATAAAATAACTTGTAATAACAATAACACTTTATTAATACAATAACAAAACATGATAACTAAAATAAAAAATAAGATAGTAGTTAAATGGCCGGTCACACTGCCAACAGTTTTTTTAAAACTTCAAATCAAAGTTTGATGAAAGTATTTTTTTATTAGTCATGTAGTTGTAAGGAGTGTTGGCCTAGTGGCTTCAGGGTGCGACTCTCATTCCTGAGAGGAAGGTTCAAACCGGCTGTGCACCTAACTTTTCTGGCCCGAGGAACCGGCATGCCATGCTTGGACCCAAAAAACGGCGTGTGTCAGGCACAGAAGGCTGATCAATTACATAGTTGCCAAAATAATATCCCGAAACAGATACAAAACATCAGAGACTGACCTTAAGAGGCTGTAGCGCCACTGGTTTTTCTAGTTAGTTTTAACAAACATAACAAAATACTTTAAGTATATAAATCTCTAAATGGATAGTAGGGACAATCGGTAAAATGCCAACTTTATTCAAGTCAGGTGTAGAATATGACGAGACAATTTTATACGAAATCGACTCGTTAACATATTTATCTAATATTTTTATGATACAGCATTAAAAAATACATACAAACCCCTAACTTTCACCCCTCTACGATCAACCCCTATTTTTTTATTATAAATGATATATATGGCAAAACGACGTTTGCCCGGTCAGCTAGTTTATTTATAAGTCCTAAAACAACGTGTATGCATAAAATTATACAAGAAAATATGACATTACAAATTTTCCACACATACATATCCATTATATTAGAACATAAGCAAACTAGCAAAAAGTTAAACAAGCAACCACAAAATAAATAATAACTAAAAGAACTAATAAAAAAGTAGTACTTAATATAAGCGAAAGATACAAGGTAGACAATGCTATGTGTAATATAAGGTAAAAAATAACTTAATGATCTAATTAAGATCCCACCACTAGCTCAAGAACAAAGAAATACAAACTTTTGGCACTCGCAGCGTACCTTTACTGAAAACATCTACTAAGGACGGCATGAAGGCAAGAAATGCACGACTATCGTAAACATTGTACAAGTGAACTTAAGAGAAGCCTCAGTCGTAATCTAGTAATGCTCTACTTCTAGTTGAACGTATATAAATTTGAAATAGTTTCAAAACGATGTAACTTACTAGACTCTAAAATTTCTCACTAAGTGAATGTAATTCTTTGAGTATCTTTGAACCGAAAAGTCTTTCCCTCACCACGACATCTTTTTAACCTTGTCAGTAAAATTTTAACTATAAATGGAATTATTAAACATATTTAGTAAGAAAACAGTTTATATAATTCCTATTTTATCCGAAACATGTTTTGTTTCTACTAATCTGTTAAAACACTATATAGGCCGTTACAGCACCGAGGTGCGTCAAACCATGTGGAGAAAACATCGTACGAGAACCGGCATGTCCTTTGAAAAACTACTTGTGACGGGAGAATGATCCTACTTGGCCTAAAGATGAATTGCCATTGAATCAGATACAGAAATGTTTCTGTTTTTCATTTTTTATTACGTTACTTCATATTTGTATTGACCTTTATTCATAGTGAATAAGGCTATTATTTAATAATAATACGACCAAATACAAGGGGTTCACTTAGAATTTTCTACAAAGATAAATAATGTTAAGAATTCAACTCCCAAATAAATATATAATCAAAATAATGATAATGCATTAGTTAGAGCTGATAATTCATTAGAGCCAGGATTTTACGAAATATGTTTTTTTTTTCTAAATTCCTTTATCATTAAAACCTCTTCATTGTTTTCGGCGTTAAATTAAATAAAATCTTAAACTAGCGTAATAAAGTTTAACGATGTTATTTATGACACTATCATTCGTTGCATATCAATTTGCAAAATTGATAGACAGATCGTAAAATGCAAACATTATGAACTGCGAAAGCAATACATATTAAGATAAAAATAACTACAAAAAGAGAATGTTGCAGCCCTGTATAGACTCAAACACGTGCACAGCCAAGGTCATCCGCTCGTCGCTGACCAATGACCACTCACGCGCATCACAATCGGACAAAACCGAAAAAACCGGTATTGTAATCTACATGAAAATACATATACAGCATTACTGACTTTATGGACTTTTATCTGCACTTTTAAAGTAGATTCAAAAGTGTGTTTCATTGACAAAGAAATTCATTATATTTAAAGCTGATTTGGTTTTGTTTCGTTCAAAAGCTTTAATCCATAATAACGGGAAAATAAATTCAAATTAAAAAATCTTGATAATTTTTAATAAAGGCAAAACGCCTGTTTATTACTTTAAAAAGTTCACCAGAGCGTAATTCCACATCACAGTTACACCATTAAACGTAATCGGTTTACTTCGGTAATGAAAATATCGGTTTTGTGCAGTTAAATTTATACGTACCAATTATTAAATAATTTTAGCTTTATTAGACGAAATGAATTCTCTATTCCAAAAAACGTTATCTATATATATCAAAAATTATAACTCAAAATTATTGAAAATTGTGTCTAAATTTTTCGTGATACAGTTTCAGTATAATGAAAAATGTTTATTATGCATATTAAAAACAAGTTTGTAGATCGAATTAATAATATCGATTAAAATTAATGTCGTTTTCGTGCATTGTTTCCAAACCTATAATAAAAAAAATCATTTGCAAACTGGATCAGTCGAACAAAGGAACACATAACAATTGTTGCCATAGGTCTTTGTTACATGTTATCACTAAGCTGAAACTGGAACAATGGCGATTATATTTTTAATAACATATTACCATTAATCCAAAAAAATGACTAACCGCTATAATCAAATCGATTTAAAAAAACCTACAAAATATTTTTACAATTCCCAATATTTTTTTATTTGTGTTAGTTATGCAAAAATACATTAATTACCATGTTTAATGAAAAAATAAATACGTACCTTTTTTGAATATAATGACGGGACGAGCACTACCTTTAACGTCGCTAAAAGCACTGCGCATGATTCTCAGACACGAACCAAACCGATTCGCAATGCGCGCGCATTTCTGAATCTGCACATGTAAATATTTATTTTAGTTAATAATATTACATATTATATTTTGTTCACGACGGGGAATAAATGAAATACTTATTCGCTTATAACAATTATAACCACAGACATTTGCTCATTTTTAAATAATATTTATTATCATAATTATAAAAAATATCATGGTTGAAAAACATCGTGTAATTAACGAAAAAAATTGTAAGAAAAACATAGCTCTATAGTTTTTACAAAGAGAATTAAAAAACGCACGTAGCCAATGGTCTGTCAAACGCATAGGATCATCGAACAGTTTTTATTTAAAAAAGGTTTTATACATATTAGGTTAGGTTATACATATTTAATTGAGCTTAAATAGTAAGTTAATCTTCTGTTTTAAAATCAATTTATTTTTTCATGACACTGATACATTACATTTTGTGTGACTCGAATGATGTAAATTCTAACCGCTTTTTGTCGAAATATTTACATATTTACTAGCTGCCCCCGCGTACTTCGTTTCTCCTTAATGTGATTTAACTTAGCCTACCTTTTTAGTACATACCAACATGGAATATTTTGCTATGCTACCCCAGAGAATGTTCAGTTTTCCGGAATGAAAACTTTTTACGTTTTTCTGTGATATTTTCTCTATAATATTTCCTCGGAGTTCAAGTCATAAGTTTTAATTAACAAATAAAAAATAAGGGTTGATCGTAGAGGGGTGAAAATTAAGGATTGTGTGTATTTTTGTATACTGTATCTAAAAAAATAAAAAAAATATATTATTATTTATTTATTACAGAAATACATACATTATCCTTACAGACTATGCCAATACGATAATGTCGAGAAACATTAAATAAAATAGGTACATATATAATATTAAACACATAATATACACAATATCGCTACTGTGAATTCACTCTGCGAACATATAAATATGTCGATAGTGTCGGAGACAGCATTCAGTAGGCGCAACGTCTTTGATAACGGGGATCTGTGCAACAGACTGGTTCTTGCCCTTGGTATCGCAAATAACCTAGGCCTTCGCCGTCGCACATATCCCATCGGTACTAAGAAACCCAGTTCTTGGAGTACACTTGGGTTGCACACTACACCCCTCAAGACTTTCACTACGTAGTAGGCCAACTGTAAGTCCCGTCTGGTTTCCAATTTATTGTACCCCACCATCCCTAAGACAAATAATGTCGGGTACATTAAAGGATAGTAGGGATAGACGCCATACAGTCTGCTATATAGGTATCGTGTAAATTTTTTCTGTATGCGCTCCAACATAAGGCAGTATTTAGCTTCTTGCGGAGCCCAAACAGACGAGTTACACTCTAACATGCTTCTTCCTAACGCGTTGTTCAAGCTTGAGATGGCTTTAATATTAGTGAACGTTGTTGCCCTTCGAAGCACAAATCCCATTCTTGCGTATGCTTTCTTACAAATGTCCACTACATGATTTCGGAAATTCAGTTGGGCATCCACTCGCACTCCTAAGTCTCTTACTGACGTTTCCCGCTTGAGTAGCACCCCCGACACATTGTACTCATGATGACGAGGCATTTTGGCACGACTAAATGTCACCATGGCACATTTGTCAATATTTAATTGGAGCTTATTTTTATTGCTCCACTCACATACTCTATCTATATCTCCTTGCAAGTGTTCACAGTCGTCCACCTCTTGGATTGACAGGAGTAATTTTAGATCGTCTGCAAAAAGAAGGCATCAAGCATGTCTTATTACTTCTGGTAAATCGTTCACCATTATTGCAAACTGCAATGGCCCTAGATTGCTGCCCTGACTCACGCCTGATTTAGTGTAGTATGGTTCCGACTGACATCCTTTGTAATCTACATACTATCTTTCAGATAATTAGCAAAAAAATGTAATAGTTTTGGAGTGAATCCAATACTGGCCAATTTCGATAACAGTATGTCATTATCCACGACATCAAACGCCTTCCTGTAATCAAAATATGCAGCATCTACCTGCAATCCGGCGTCCATAATAGGAATAACATAATTAATTGCGTTTAGTAAATTACTGCTTGTACTACGCAAGGGCCTAAAGCCACGCTGGCAGTCTGACAAGTACGGTTCTACTTGTTTTAAAATGTTTTTGTGCAGAGCTCCTTCGAATATTTTAGCGGGAGTCGATAATATAGCCACCGGTCTATATGCTTCCACCGAGTCTTTTCTTTCGCTTTTGGGTATAGGAATCACTCTTGTGATTTTCCAGCAATCTGGAAAGTAACCGTTGTCCAGGCATAGATTAAACAAATACGCAAGGGGCTCAGCAAGTATAGAACGGCAGTCCCTCATAATATATGCTGGTATGCCATCTGGGCCTGCCGAGCGCTTCGGCTTTAGACGGACAAGGGCATCTCTTACCTGCGCTGATGTCAATTCAGGTACGTGCACGTATGAGCCGCTCCCGGTACCCGCTGCCATCGCCTCCTCCACATTCAGCCGCGCGGTCTCCCTACTGAAGACTGAGTAAAAATACGCCGCAAATTCAGCCGCACAATCTGCATCTGATAATACCTCACCATTTTTTAAAATAGAATTTTGATGTGCAGAATTACTATTCCGCGCCCTTATATACAGCCAAAAAGACTTAGGATCGTTAACTAAATTATTCTGTATCCTTTCTTCATAACATTCAAACGCAAGCTTAATATTCAATTTAATGCGTGCGCTACAAGCAGAAAAATCACGGTAGTCGTTCGGAGAATTAGTGCATTTATATTTCTTGTGTAATTTTGCTTTTAGCTGCAGGTCACTTATAATTTCCTTAGTATACCATTCAGGATAGCAATATTTACGATAATTACTATATCTACTAGGCTTTAACCGTTTTCTAGGAACACAATTATTAATGACCGCATTAAAAAATACTATAAAAAGCATTTAAGGCCCCGTCTGGGTCACGCGTATCAAAAACAGCACTCCAATCGGCGACTGCTATAGAGGAATATAAAGTATGAAAATTAGCTTTATAACAATTCCATTTTGGTCTATTTTCATAAGTGAAACTGTAAGCAGCATGCTTCCTCCTGGGCTGTGAGACAGTGTGATGCGGTCTAATGAGAGTCGTCCCTCCACGAACAGCGGTGGGTGATATGAATCCACCGGTACCAATGAATCGTCCGCTTCATAAACACACACCCCGTCTCTCATACCCGACGAGCACAAAACTAAATCCAGCTGTCTCCCATCACAATTAAACACCCGGCTTACTTGAGTGAATTCACAGAACGACAAGAAAAATTCATAATATTGTTTAACATTTACACTACTTGAATTTAAGTTAAAATCCCCTAATAATAATACATTTTTATATTTAACACACAATAATTCAATTATTCGGAAAAATAACATATATTCTGTATCACACGTATTCGGCGGTAAATACACCGCACAACATAAGAATAAACATTTGTCCTTTTGGTGAACTGAACTCTGATCGACGTTGATATCACTCGGTTCTTTCACACGTCGCAACCGCAGTTCACGCGTGGCCACTAGAAACACGCCACCTTGTTTTCTTCAATCCGTCCGGTCGCATCTTAGAATTTGATACCTCGCGGGCACTATTTCCGCATCTTTAATAGAATCATTACATCCCGTTTCTGTTATGGCCACTATATCAACATTTAGTGCTTCAATATCCCGTATAACTTTATTTAACTTGGTTCGCAAGCCTCTAGCATTTTGATAATAAAAAGAAAACCTACACAGTTTCCTCTGTTTTATTTTTTGGCTTCCGAAACCAAAACCATTGACAGCACTCGGTGTTCACGGGCCATACTTCCGGTGAATATAACTTTTCATACACCGACTCCGATACCGTTACAATAAAGGAGGCATATTCCTTTACTTTTTTGGACTTAATTTTAATAACCTTAACGTCCACTTCAATGCCACATATTCCTTTTATATACGATGTCAATTTTTCCTCCGTAGTATCTAAACTTAATCGCCAGATATGAAGGTGCTTCTTTCTTTGAGTAGCCCGTATTTCTAATGATTCCACATTCCTTCCACGAAGTATCTCAGGATTTCTACCATTGAGTACCGTTTGCGAAGCACTGGGAATCAGACTCGTCGTTGTTGTCGTAGTTTGGTTACTAACTCTCAAATCGCCAGCCACTTCGCTTATTAACGCTGGTTTCCTGGCCTCTTTTTTATTGAGATTTTTGTGGGTAGTCTTGCTACCCTTTTTTTTGATATTATTACAAATTACTTCGGCATATGCTAACTTATCTTCGTTTTGTTTTGTATTTATACCAACACTTTGCGAAGCACAACACGCACAGATATATTCACGCTCATGATGTGACACTGCGATGTTCTGCACCCTTTTTTTCTTGAAGCTCGAGATATTGCATTTTGAGTTCCTTCAACTCCGATTGTGTGGACATACATACTTCCTGCATAATTGCTTAAGTGCCTTTGCTTGGTTATCCAATTGCTTTAGAACTTCAAATGTAAAATCCCGGAACTCCGAAAATAAAATAAAATCGTATTCTGGTCTCTCAAACGCCTCATCTGCTGCTTTTGATCTGGCCCCTCTTTTTTTGTTTACGTTTTTGGAGTCCGAATATATTTGAATCGGAGATGTATCCTCCCTTTCTTCACCACAACCGAAGCAACTACGTCTAGACATTTTTAAATTATGAAATTTAAACTGAGAGAACACAAAAAACGCGTGCGTACTGAACGGATGACGGATGAATTATCTCTTATAATGAATTATCTCTTATATCTATTATAATATATAATTATATTATGTCCAAAATATTAAAAATTAAAATTTAGGGGTGGACCACCCTTAACATTTAGGGGGATGACAAATAGATGATGTCCGATTCTTAGACTTACTGAATATGCATAAAAAATTTCATAAGAATCGGTAGAGCCGTTTCGGAGGAGTATGGGAACGAAGTAACGAACATTGTGACACGAGAATTTTATATATTAGATAATAAAAAAGATAATCCAGTGGCACTACAAGCCTGAATGCGTCTTGGGATCAGATTTCATCTGTTTCTTCTACAATTTCTGTCTGACACATGTCATCGATTTTTGGTTTTGACATAAGCCGATTTCTTAATGATGTTTGCTTGCACCTCTGGAGCAAGTGCTTATTACACAAAACAAGAAAATTCCAATGGCGCACAGCCGTCGAACACGGGATCTCTGGGATACGGTTGCACGCTTGTCACAGGGCCAACACTACTTCCAAGGTAAAAAAAAAAGTCTATCTCATCTCAGTAGCAGGCTGCCCGTAACGAGCAATGTGATGTCTCGTGGGACTATGTTTAAAGATTGTAGTTTTCTCAGCATCCATCTGGTTTATATAATAAATGATGGAAAATTTATTTTTATAATGTATAGTCCAATATACACGTAATTCCAATACGATTTTGACATACGAGATAAGTTATTGCTAAGCCACGGCTCTGAATCTTACCCAAAACCTTGGACTTGCAATAGGGTAGGTTTCAGAAACTAGACTTATCGCTAAGTCTGACTCCCATCCGTCAAAAAATCATTGAATTTTGACATACGGAAGTCAATTCTTAAGTCTCGTTTCTCTATGAGCAGTGAAACCGGGTATAATTATTTATTATCAGGTCACAATCTCAATTGTTATAAATACTAGTAAAACAGTCACAGAAATGTAGCTGCCCCATAAATGTTGGAGATAATCAAACTTCATAAATCATAACTTATCTTGGCCTTTAAAATATCCAACAGCGTAGTACGTACGTATATATTAATTAAATCTTTTAATCTTAACAGTTCAGGGAAATTGTGAAACATGTCGACATTGAACAAGATATTTAATTTTTTTCTCGATTTGCATGGTAAATTATATATAATAAGCAATCAGTCATGATTATCTTTTCAAATAATTTTTAAATCAACGTATAATATTCAACTTTATATGCCACATATTTTGAAAACATGTTACTGTATCAAATATGTGTATTTAAATTAAAACAATTTTGAAATAAGGCATTACTAAACTTTATGTAATATGGCATTTCCCCCTAAACGGCATAAGCGTTATAGAATAGAATAAATAAAATAAAAAAAAAGGTTACAATTTTCTAAAGTTTGAGATGTCGTATCGAACAGGTAATTGGTAGCCTAATGTTGATAAAGTCCATTCTATGAAATCAATCGTCAGACGATATGCTCTATACAAATGGTTGCTAAGCGTAACTTTTGACGAAGATTTAATACAAAATGGCGGTCCACACTATCAGCTGTTGTTGTTGTTATTGTGTGATTGAAATTTATAAATATATGTAGGTACATTTAAAAAATTAATAAACTTAGACTGTTATAAGATTTGTTTTCATTTAGTTAAGTGTAATTTATTTTGATGTTCACGTAAATAAAAACGTTTCTCTTTTTTTTCTTTTTTAAGTATTAAATAACGAAAAAGTTATTTCATCAACGTCCTCATAATTCAACCAGTCTGTCAGTACAGGCATTTATGGTACCTTTCTATGTAAATTAAGGCCTCACAAGATTTATTTATGTTCTTACATCTACGGTATGAATTATATTTGTATGAAGCTCGTAATCATAATGGAGCATGTTGCACACATGCACAGCGTATTTTTGTTATCTATGCTTCCTGCAATCGACCCAGGTTTTATAAATAACGTGTGTTAGACCACAGAGGGATTTTTGAGACAATTTTGATAGATGTTTGCCATTAAAGTTAATTTTAATTGTCTGAATCTTAAATTGGATACAGAGAGGCCAGTGCAGGGCGTATTGGAGGAAAATGGAGAAGGCCTACGCTCATTAATGGACCAAATAAAGATGCTGATGATATTGATGATGATGAATCTTAAATAGCGTCAAAATATCAGTGTTAGTAGTCTTACAAGTCATAAGAAAATCAAATCAAAATCATATTCATTTATTGCAATCCCTTAATTGCAAAACAACTTGTAACTCGTCGTAACTAATCATAAGTAACTTTAATATAAAATAAATTCCTTTTAACTGAACAAATTTAGTTTATACCCTAACTAATTCATATCATATAAATAATTATATTTTCTTTTAAGCTTAAACTTGACAAACTCGCTGAATAGAGACATGTTGGCAAGGAAAAACCCCAATGAAATATATGAATAAATGTTTATACCCAATTAAATGAAAGGTGCAAGAAATCTTCAACGAATCAAAGTCGTTGATCTATGGCTCGACATCTTCGAAGTCGGTAGAAGGGGATTGTCGTCTTGTTTCTTATGTCCGTTGATTTTTAATAATTTCTTTCTACACTTCCTTTACTAAAAATAACCCAAAATAAACATCTTCAACATCCAAAATATAAAAATTATAAAGTTTTTACTATTTATTTATTAATTTATTTAGTTATTAAGCCCACGACATCACACACAGTCCTAAATCTACCAATAATTTCACAAAATCTTACATCCAAAATGTGCGACAATCAACGCAAGCATAAGTTTCTCAAAAAAAAATCAAATAGAAATTTAAAAAAAATACAACTAAAACACACACGACAATACACACATTAAAATAAAATATTTTTTTTTACCATAAATATAAAATAAAATAAAATTTTCCAAATTTGCCAACAAATTTCATTTTAATGCACTAAGCAGAAAAAAAAGAAAAATCATCAGAAAACAGCGAAATTAGGTTCGAGAAAGACACGCCACAATGCTTTCTCTAAAACCGATCAGCCCACTACCGAATATATTCAGCTCCGGATAAGCTGTGGTCAATTTGTTAAAATCACGAAGAATTCGAACGAGAGGTGCCTGAACTCCTAATTTATTTTTATTTAAGACATAGTACATCTTATTATATTTACTTTATGTACTAGTTTTAATTAAAATATAGAATTTAATATGTTCGAAACTATTATTTGGACATTTCGATACAAAGTTGAACAAAAAGTAACTTTTTTAGAATCGCTTATTCTGTTATAGTTTCAAGGCGAAACAGTCAAATTTTGGTTCAGTCGCGAGGTCATAGTATGAATTTTCATAAAAATTGAATGAACAAAATCTGATTATCACTGATATATATATATAAGGTGGAAACATAAACGGGCTGATTTTTTCGACGTCATGGAATAAGCGATGCATCTCAGCCTTGCGATCCTGTAACTCACTTTTCGAACTCACACAGCGGTTTCCACAGCGGCGGTCGCGCTCAAATCAGTCCTAAAGTAGTCATTTTACGATTTGGCATTCTGATAAACAATAAAACTCAAGCTCCCTCCTTATACTCGTAGGCCCTGGTCCTAAATGTATTTTTAGAGATGTTTTTTTTGACGTTTATTGGTACATAAATTTCCCAAATGAATATGTTAATTAACTGATTTATTTAAAAAAAAATACGAATAATCGTGGTAATCATTCACTACAAAATTTGCAAGCGATCCTCATTAACACACGTTGTAACTTCCTAACCCTTAGGCGACGAAAAATGATATAAAAACCAATCAAACATACCATAATAACAACTTTCGCATTAGGAAAAATATGTTATAAATACACATTATAAGCCGCCCAAGGCTATATATAGAGCCTTCGGTTCTAGAAATTAATGATTTTTGGTATGCAGTACCGTATATTGGACCATTCATGCTAAATGTATTGTTTCCGAATATAAATCAAATACGACAAATATAGGCTTGCGACGCTATAGGTTGAGAGACTTTTTTATGTAATAGGAAGCAAACGGGCAGGAGGCTCACCTCATGTTAAGTGTTGGACACTCACATTGTGGCTCGCAAGTGCGTTGCCGGCTTTTTAGGTGGTGAATTTTAGAAAATACCTAGAATGGCAGTCGGTTCAATAAACTGTTGGTGCGCGGCAAGAAATGTCAGTATCGCTCTATAATGGAACGCCAGACGTCAAGGTGGAACGGGTGGAATCTTGTGTTCAGCCCTGACCTGCGATGATGACATTAACTCCTTTTACAATAACAATTTTGACATTGACAGTTCCCTTGTAAAGAGAGGATATCGTCTGTCAGCTTCAGTTTATTTTATATATTAAATAAATGAAATCTTCTGAAACGGGCTAGTTTTACACCTATCTTGTGGATGTTTTGTTTGTTTATCTGACCTTTAACGCATCATAAAACCAGAGATAAAGATAGACCAATTAAAACTGAGTAATTATTTGTTAAAACTGAGTCATTCTTGATACTCTAATATTAGTCATTGCTTACATGATTTTTGTTTAATAAAAGTATACTAAGATATATGACAATGATGGCAAATCTCTGGCCCGAACCTATCGCGGATTTTTATTTAGAAATTGCAATGGGATTGTCATCATCCTTTAGGATTGTTTGCATTTATAGTGTTCATAAAATCCTAACTTTATATCTAAAATTCATGAACCAGTTTAGTGGATTTTATGTGAAAACTAAACTAATTGCTGATACATTTCATTTGAATCTTAAATATGATGTTTTGTTATAAATAAATCCTGAATTTATATAATTGTGCGTAATATGAAACAAATTCTTCATTGAACTACGTAATTTCGAAACTTTATTTGTTAGTGCTGCCATTGCGGCGTTATAGAGTACTTTCTTTGTTTTTATTTATTACTATTTACTCATAAATTACTATGATGATGTTGCTATCCA